AAAAATGAGATCCCATGTTTTAAACTCAGCCCAAATTCCAGGTGTCAGTGGTGGCCTCCCGGTCTGTCTCCAGGGCAGAGGCAGCGATGCTCACCAGGCCTCTGAGATGAAGGGAAGGCAGCTGGATTTGTGCTTCCAAAGGGCTTGGATGAAGTGAATTCCTTTCCTGATGGCTTTCCATGGTGCATCTGAAGGAGGCTGCAGGGCCTGTGCTGTAGGAAGGGGATCAAAAGGAATGGGTGATGAGCAGTGATGCTCAGGAAATGAGGGACTGCTGAGGAGCATTAGCCAGGGTTGTGTAAGCAACCTTAATTCTGCCACTGCCTCTCTGAGAGCCTGGGCTGCCGCTTGCTCCGTCCCCTGTGGCATTTTGGGCTGGGAAATGATAGTTTTCAGTAAGTGCTCCTGCTCCGTTGGCCCATCTCTGGAGGAAGCTGAGTTACAGGGAAAGCAGAGAGCAGAAAGCTGCTCTTTCATGGGAGCATCAGATTATAAATGTACTCCTGGGCCACTTTGGGGAAGGAAAAGGTGGGATTGGTGCTGGCTTTATCCCACAGGGATCACACCACATGGGTGCTGGAGCAAGAGACCCTGAACTGCCTCTGGAAATACTGGACAGTGGCTTCCCCCCATGCAGGATCCTCCTAAATTCCTGCAACTTTTAAATACTTGGCTGTGTCTCTTGTTTTCCAGCAGCATTCCCAGTAAGGGAGCTGGGTTTATATCACTTTCTTCCTTAAGCCAACCAGAATTTAATCCTGCTTATTTCTGGGGTCTGTTTTATTCTGTGCCATTCAGGCAGGTTCCAAGCCTTATTCCCGCACTGAATAATGCAGGTTTGTGAGCTCACATAATCCATCCTGTTGGAATCACTCGGAGTTGGAAGCTCTGTGGCTTGCAGCAGTGTGTTCAGTGTGTTGGCAGGTGACTTAAATGCTCCTGAAAGGCTTTTTTTCTAGGTCACTCCTATATGAAGCTGATGAAACTGGCTCTGTGTGACCTGTGTGTCACTGCTGTACCCACAGCCCTTCACTCAAGGTGCCTTTTCACTGCAGTCCTGCCTTCTGGAAGCAGTTTTTAGAATCTATTTCAGGAGCTTTATCCCAGAACTGCTGTTCCTGAGGGTTCCTGGGAGAGCCCAGGTGACTCTGGCACACCTGAGAGCTCTGAAGCTCCACAAGGCACGGGAAGAGGTCTTATCCACTCCCATGGAGAGCCCATGGAATTATTTAGGTTGGGAAAGCCCTCTGAGATCATTGAGACCAACCATTCCCCCAGCACTGCCAAGGCCACCACTGCCCCATGTCCCCAGGTGCCACATCCACACAGCTTTTAAATGGTGGCTTCCAGTGACAGGACAAGAGGAAACAGCTTCAAGTTGTGCCAGGAGAGGTTTAGGTTGGATATTGGGAATATTCATTCATGGAAAGGGTGGTCAGACACCGGCACAGCTTCCCAGGGCAGTGGTGGGGTCACCATCCCTGGAGGGATTTGAAAGTCCCGTGGATGTGGCACTTGGGGACATGGTTTGGTGGTGGCCTTGGCAGTGCTGGGGGAACAGTTGGACTCAATGACCTTACAGAGCTTTTCCAACCTGGATGATTCCATGATTCTGTGATGGTTTTAGCAGTAAAGCTGCCTGGAAGGTCTCTCAGAGCCTGATTTTTACCTTTACGGTTTTTGGATGTTTATGGATGTGACTGGACTGGCAGTGGGAGTGATGGATAGAGCTGGAAGTGCAGGACAAGCCAGCCATGGACACTCAGAGGACAAAAGGCAGCCCCAGCCCTGGGCAGAAGCTTGGGTTTGGACAGGGCAGAGGTGGCTCCAAGTGTTGTGACCACAACAGCACTCAGTGAGGAAGGAAAGAGAAATCAGGGATGGGTGTAAGCAAGGAAAGGCTGCTTTGTGGTGTGAGGGAGAGGAGCAGAGCAGGGCTCAGCTGGGACTTGACTTTGATGTCCAGGGGGGAGAGCAGAGGCAATGTGAGGGTCTGAGCTCAGCCTGAGCTGTGGATTGGGGCTGTGCTGCTGCTGGTGGCCAACAGCCATCCCTGGCTCTGTTCCTGCTATGGGGGGAGCAAACCCCTCCAGCTGTCACCACGTGGCTCCATCTGCACCTCTCTCCACATGGGGAGTGCCACTCCGCACCGAAGGTCTCCGATTTTTTTGGCTCCCAGGGTTTTTTGGCTCTTTTGGCCAGGAATTCACAAGTTTGATGCAGGCTATTGTGCTGGCAGGCTTGCAGGCAGACTCTCCATGGCAACTTCCCTATACACAAAGCACCATATGGCTTTTTTTGGAGGGGGAGGGAATAAATCCAGTAGAAAAGTCAACCTTTGTTTGTGGTGCTTGTTTGTCTTTGCTCTCTGTGACGTGTGGGGAGGTGGAAACGTGGAATTCTGGCTCCTGGGCATGGTGACGGGTGCAGGTGACCTCTCAGATGGCCTTCCCTGTATTTTTATTCTGGAATTTGCTGTGCAAATAAACCCATCCTACACACACACAGACCCCCCTCTTTGGGCTGGGCTCTCTGTGCACAGATGGAGCAACAAGGATCCCGTTCATCCCCATCATGTTCATTCCCTGCAGGGCTGGGAAGGCTCCACAGCCCCTGTTTTGGGCAGGAGGCAGGTGATGGATAGCAGGAGCTGCCTGTGCCTGTGCTCTGCCCACACTTTATACCCCTGATTCCAAAGGAAAGCCTTCACTTGCCTGCAAATCCTCCCTTTTTAAGCCCCTCTGGAAGAAATGAGGATAATAAATATCTTTATCTGTGTCTGTAGAAGAGTAGGAAGTGTTTGTGTGTCTGCTTGGAGGGGGAGGACGAGAAATGTGGGAATAAGGAGAAGGGAGCAGCCTGTGCCTTTAGGATGTGGTTCCAGGGGCTGCTGTGGGGTGCCAGCAGGATCACTGGAGATGGCCTGGAGCTGAGCACTGCCTGTGTGTGCTGGTTACCAGGAGAGGTGGCTGCCTGTCCCCTCTGGCTGGTGTGACACAAGTTGCCTTCCAGGAGCACTGTTTGGTTTTGGTTTTGCCCCCAAACATGGGGCAAAGGCTCCTCTGTGACACCCACTGAGGTGAGCAGGTCACTGTCCACATCCCCTCCCAGGGGAGCCAGGAGGCTCAGATCCCAAAATAGCACCATGGATAATTAATGGGAAAACTCCTGACCCAGGCTCATGGGTGGAGCTGTGCAGGTGGGGACAGAGGGACATTTGAGGAGAGGGACAATGCCATCTTCAGATTATAGAATCACTAAGGTTGGAAAAGACCTCCAAGGTCATCAGTGGATTCACAGCCTGACCCCCCCAGGGCCCCAGGCCCAGGTGAGGGGAGAGAACATTCCTTGGTGCCACATGTTCAACTTCTCCCAGCCTGGGGAACCCCTCAGGTTGGTGGCTCCAGTGTCCCCTGGTGGCTCCAGGATCCCCTGGTGTCTCCAGTATCCCCTGGTGGCTCCAGGATCCCCTGGTGGCTCCAGGATCCCCTGGGTGCCCACCTGTGTCTGCATTCAGTGGTCAGCAGGGAGGCCCTGGGGTTGGTGTTTAGGTGGGAGGTGTTGCTGCAGGCCTGGAGTCCTTGGTTTGTCCTGTGCCTGATCAGAGATTCTCAGAATGCTTTGGGTGGGAAGAGACCATAAAGTTAATCTTGTTCCATGGGCAGGGACACCTTCCACTGTCCCAGGCTGCTCCAAGCCCCGTCCAGCCTGGCCTTGGACACTTCCAGGGATCCAGGGGCAGCCACAGCTTCTCTGGGCACCCTGTGCCAGGGCCTGCCCACCCTCCCAGGGAACAATTCCTTCCCAATATCCCATCTATCCCTGCCCTCTGGCACTGGGAAGCCATTCCCTGTGTCCTGTCCCTCCATCCCTTGTCCCAAGTCCCTCTGCAGCTCTCTTAGAGTCCCTTTGGGCACCGGAAGGGTCTCTGAGGTATCCCTGGAGCCTTCTCCTCTCCAGGTGAGCACCCCCAGTGCCTTGACCAACCCCTAATCCCTGGCCCTTTTACCAGATGTGTGAAATGACCACAGTGTGATTCCTTAATGAAAAATGGCCTTTCTTGATACCCGGAGAGGGGCCCAGAGCAGGAGCTGTGCTGTGCCTGTGGGTGAGGCTGGCACTGTCCCATCGGGCCGCTGCAGCAGTGCCTTATGTGTCCCTTTGAGGGGCTGGGATGAGAAGGGCACGGAAAGGTGACCCCTGTCCATCCCCAAATCCTTGTGTGTCCCCTGCAGGCATGGCCGGGTGCCTCCTCCTCCTCCTCCTCCCGGCCGGTTCCTCGGCAGCAGCCGGGCCCGGTGCCGCAGCGATGGCGGCTGAGGCGTGTGGGCTCGAGGCTGCTGTTTATTTTGGGACTGCAGCACTGCTCCTGATTCGGTGCTTCCAGCCCGCGATCTAGGCCGTGTGCCGGATCGGCCATTAGCTGTTGCACGGGGGAATTCTGGCTCCCCTCCTCGCTGGAAGGGCCGGCAGGATGCTGCAGACGGGGCTTTGGGACGGGAGCAGGAATTGATTTTGAAGCTCTCTCCCGTTTTTCGGGCGGCCTGCGCGGATGCTCCTGCGGCCACGGGAGGAGCAGGCGCCGAGAGCCTCAGCCTGCCTTCCCCGCCGTTCCCATGGCACTTGTCACACACACATCCCATGCATTCCCTGCCCACAGCGGGATTAAAGCCTTCTGGGAGAAGAATAAGAGGATGCGGGGAACTGAGATAGGGAAGAAGCAGGGAAAAGGAATGGAGGGCGTGGAGGGGTAGGGATGAATCCGGGAGCCGGCCCCACTGGAGCAGCGATCCTTGTGGGATTTGTGGCAGGGAGAAGCCACAGGCATCGCCTTCCAGCCCTGCTGTGGGTGGGATGTCTGGGAGCAGAGCCCCTTCCTGAGGGCTGGAGGTGCCGGTTCGTGCACACAGAAATTCTGTCACATGTCCCAAACCCAGCCTTGGCCTGAGGGTGCAGATTTCCCTCTCGGTGATTCCAACTGTGTTTGTTTCCCCCTGCAGACCCTGACAGCCAGCTGTATGATATGGGATATACCCCCGAGGAGGAAGCCCCGGCCTGTCCCGATGAGTTTGATGATTTCGTCACGTTTGAGGCAAGTATGAGCTCTGTTCATTCCCATAAATGTTGGCTGCACGTGGAGTGGGATCTGGGCACAGAGGCTCTCCCTGTGGGGAGGGGAGTTTGCTGTGACAGGGCTCAGGGATGCTTAACGTGTACAGACAAATTCAGTCTCTGGGTGACGGGCCCAGAGAACCTGCAACCTGCATTTGGTGTTGTTGAAGTTAAAATTGGTGTTGTTAAAACTGAAAGAGCAGAGCACGGTGCCCTGGGTGGAAAGGAAGCCCCTTTCTGTGGTGAAACACTCGTGACATGGGAAGGGGACCTGCTGCTCTTGGCTTTGTTTTCCTGCTGGAGTTTCTGAGCCTGGAAAACCTGAGCTTGGTTTGGAGATGTACCAGCCAGGAGCCTCCCTGAGAGGCACAGCAGAGCAGTGGGATGGTGACATTTGCTGCTGTTTGACCAGCAAAAGGCAGAGCAGAGGACAAAAATCTGCATTTTCTCTCTATCCTTGGGCTTGATGAAGGCTGTTTCTCTGATTTGGGTTGTTTTCCTCTAGTTAAAGCCTCCATGCCTTGGTTCCCTCCTGCATTCCTTACAACAGGAGCACATTGCAGCAGTGATCCTGCTGTTCCCAGCTGGAAAGGAGAGACCTCTTGTCTGTATCCAGGGGTTTTGGGCTTGGCTTGGAAGGCTTCACCCATTCCTGCTCTGTGCCCTCCAGCCTGGAGCAGGAGGTGCTGCAGGTGCCTTGGGAGCAAAGGGATGGCTGGTCCCTGTCCCATGTGGGGATTGAATTATTTCCCTCTGCTTTTTCTTTTCCACACTTCCTCCTTCAGAGCTGTGACACCTCTGTCTTGGTAGCCTGAATGTTTTCAGGGTTGTCCTGTGCAGGACCAAGAGTTGGGCTCTGATCCTTGTGGTCCCCTTCCCACTCAGGATATTTGTTATTCTGTGTGATTTTTATCACACTGCTTGTTGCTGGCAATGAGACTCCCAACCTGCTTTGTATTTGCATGCAAATATATTTATTTATATTTGTGTGTATATTTGCTTGGTATCGTCTGTAGTTCATCATTTTGGCCTTGTGATTTCTTGATAAAAGGTTAATGATAGCCTGGGCAGCTGGTCCTAAAATCATGGAATGATCTGGGTTGAAGGGACCTTAAGGCTCATCCCGTGCCACTCCCTGCCACAGGCAGTGACACCTTCCACTGCCCCACATCACTCCAAGCCCCATCCAACCTGGCCTTGGACACTTCCAGGGATAGGGCAGGCAGAGCTTCTCCAGACAAGGTTGAATATTGGCTTATTTTTCCTTTTTGAAAGGTAGTTACAAGCCTCAGGAACAGCTGGGGAGAAGTAGGACATGAGGGCAGGCAGGGAGATGGATTTCCATGTTTTTTATGTGGTGCAGGGTCGCAAATGTGCATTTTAACGCTGGACTGAGCAGTGTGGAGGCTGTGACAGGCAAAGGCTTTCACTTTTTGCTCCTCAGGCCTGTGTCAAGGGACCATCTTGCCTGAGATTCCGAGCGGGGATGTTTTCCAAGGGCTAATTTAACATAGATGAGCTCTGTCAGCACTGGGAGCTATTCTGGGCAGCAATACCAACAAGGCAGGTGTGTGTCCCAGTGGGATGAAATACTTCTGCTGCTGGGCCAGCCTTTCCTTGAAAAGACAAGGTGACCCAAAGGAAAAAAGGTGATGAGTCCTGAAATCTCCTTTTCCAAAAGATCTAAGTGGATTTTTTTTACTGAATTCAGTGCAGTCCTCTAAAGGACAGCTCTACGTTTAACATGCCGGGGAAGAATTAGCCTTGTTGTCTTGGATACATGATTCGAAATAATTTCCAGCCTGCCAGGATTTCATAGAGGTTCAGCAAATGAGAACATGCTCGAGAAATACCACTCAGCCTTGGGAGTGTAAAAATAAACTGGAGTCTTGGGGTGAGGGGGTTTTTGTTCTCTTCTGGCTGAGCCACGAGCTCCCAACGTGCTTTTTATCCCACATTTGGAAAGCTGGAGCTGGCCCAGGGAGGGAGAAGCCGTGGTTCAAAGCATCCTGCTGGGAGCAGCAAAGGCATGTTCCTCATGGGAAAAGAGCTGGAGAGGGCTCCAGCAGACCCTTCTTGCTTAGGTGCAGCAGGATATCAGCACAGCAGAGAATAAACAGCCATTCCCAGTGCCTATATTCCATCTTGCTTCGATTCTCCAGAAGAGATGAGTGGAGGGAAATCACCTTTCAAAGTGAATACATCACCTTTCCTCAGAGTACTGAGGAGCAAGCAGCAGCTGGGGCTCTGGGATATCCCCATGTCAGGCATGGGACACACAGCTAAACACACCCCAAAACACAACTGGGACACCTCAGGCACTGGGTGAGCCCCTCTGGCTGTGGCAGGGCCGTAGAGTGAAGTGGCACAGCTGGGATTTCTCCTCCCCTGTCACATCAGAGCTGAAGGAGTTGCTGCATTTGCAGAAGTGCTGGGGACAGTTGTGGTTATTGGAGTGGAGCACTGGTCCCTCTTAAACTGGTCCCTCAGCTCCTCCAGGTGCTGGGGTCTGACAGGGAGCTCTTCTCCTCAGTGTTTGTTCAAACAAGTGTAAACAAATCCTTTAAGCAGTCTCCAGGAAAATGTCTTCTCTTCCTTAATAAGGTTGCTCTGCTTGATGACTCATGTTCTCTTCTGGTGACTGTCATCAGGAGAGTTCAGCATCCATGGAAAACCCTGAGAGCCCACAGCTGGGGACTTGCACCCAGTATTTGCTCTCCAGAGAGAACCACCACCACCTGCTTCCTCCAGGAAAAGACTTCTGAAGGGGACAAAGTGGGACCTCAGGAATTTGTGATGTTGGATACAGCCCCAGTTCAGCCACTGGTGTGGCTCTGGATGTGCCATGGATCTCCTGGCTCCTGTTGCACCATTCCAGGAGTGTCCAGCAGACAGGGCTGTCTGTTCAGATGCTTCCAAAGAGGATTTCTGCTCCCATGGCTCCACTGAGACAGCAGCTCCTGCAGCCATGTAGCTTCTCGTGCCTCCACCTGGGCTTGCAGGGGGCTCATCCCAATCCCTCCAGCTCTTCCGTCACACATTCCAGAGGAACCTCATCCCTGTGCACCCAGCTGGGAGCAGGGAGAGCATCACCTGGCTGGGATCCTCTCCCAATGTGTTCCTCCTGCCCAAGGTGGAAATGTGGTGGTTGCTGGGAGAGAAACCACCAAAAACTAATGACAGCCTTCCTGCCTTGTAAAAGTCACGTTGAAGGGAGCTTGGAGCTTTTCCATCTGGACACCTGAGCCCTGTTTTCCCTCAGGCTGGGCTGGCACAGCTTGGCTGCTGACTGCCTGGAAGGTGGGAGTTCTCCTTGCTTCCCTTGTGAGCTCCTGTGGAGCTCATGACTCAGTGTTGAGGCACAGGACTTGTTTGGAATGCTCTGGGGGACATGGAGGGGAGTTTGGAGTTAGCTTCCTTGGGATCATGGAATCATTAAAGCTGGAAAAGACCTCCAAGCTCAGCCCAGCACCACATGGATACCCGCTGTGCCTTGCCCTAGGGTGAGGGCTCTGCCCCTCTGCTCTGCTCCTGGGGCAGGTGAGCCCCCTTGGACAATGCAGAGTGGGAAGGATGACCCTTGAAAATGGAAAAACGAGGCATGAAAATGCTGGGATTAGGCTGGGATGGGCATGGAGATGTATAACTTCAGGTGGGCTGAGGAGAGGTGGAGCCAGTGCTCTGTAAAGGCTGCCTGGGAGCACCATAAATACCCCAAACTCGTGTTTTGGGCCAGCAAGGTCAGAGGAAGGCGCTGGTTGAGCTCTGCAGGACGGGGCAGCCGTAAATCCTGCGGATGCAGCGCCTTGTGCAGGGCTGTTGCCATCTGCTGGGCAGCTGCCGTGGCTCCTCTCAGAAGCAGCCAGGAAAACAAATTCTGCACAGCCACAAGAGGGGAATTCGGCTTTCCCTGGAAGCCTTCACCTGCCCAGGCACATCCCCTCTGGCTATTTGTCCAGCAGGGGAAGAGTGGATCTGGGGAGGAAAATGGGAGTTGGGAAGGTCCCAAGTTTTGTGAATTTTGGGAATATGAGCTACTCCTGACTCTCCCAGCCAGGCTGCCTACAGGTGCAGCTGGGAGAACTCCAGCTCAGAATATTCCGTGACATTCTGTGCAATGGTGAGCAGCAGCTTTAGGGCCAACACATCAGCTCTGTGAAACTTTAACTCTGTTAAAACCAGGATTTCTTTCCATGCTGAGCAATTGAATTTAAGGCTTCTTTGAGGGCAAAAATCAGAGCCAGGCCATTGAAATTCACATTGCTGGGTTTCTCCAGCTGCTCAGAGCTTCTGCAAAGGGGACTTGCAGGACCCCAGCTGTGGATTGTGTCACAGAAGCTGTTGTAGGAGCACGTGGGGACCGGAGCTCGGCTCTGCTGTCATTCCTCGTGCCTTGTGTTTTGCAGGGAGCCCACCTGGGGTGTTGTAGGAAGCTGCTGCAGGCTCCTTGTGTCCCCTCTGAGTAGTCCTGTGGACCTTCTGAGGTCCTTTCCTAGTACAGAATTCCTGGGAAGACACTTTCCTTCCCGAAGGCAGAGCTGGTGAGCACAGAGTTTGGGAGGGCCCTGCTTTGCAGTCTGTGGCATTTTAGGTGAGGTTTTTTCCCTCCTCTGCCTCTGCACACCACTGTTACCACAGTGTGCATGTCTGGCAGAGGCCAGCCAGGCTGAAAAGATGGCCTTGAGCTTTGTAACCTCCTCTGAGCTGTCCAAGGGGCTCAAAGCATCCAGACAGAGCTGGGTTCAGCTGTTCCCTGGCTGTCCTAACCCAGGTGTGAAGGTCTGGTGGTTAGAATGGGGATGTGAGAGCTCAGGTTTTCTGTACCAGTGCTCTTGCCACCTTCTGGAATGGCCTCAGTGGGCCTCTGGTCACAGGGCTGACCTGAAAGCACCATGAATGAAATGGTCACAAAGCCCTCTGCAGGGGCTGGCTGCTGGAATTGGTGGACTTGAAATCTTGCAGGTGGCTGGAATTGCAGGC